CAACATCGAGTCTTCATACTCTTTCACTAATAAACTACTAGTTTATACTATCCAATTTAAACAATTATTAGTATCCTTATATACTTTTAATTGTAGTCTCTTTTGTAATTACAAATTATCTTAAATTTTTTTTGTTAAGTTTTCTAAAATAAAATGCCTTCTGACTTAGTTATAACACAATAACAAGTGAAGTTACAAAAAGTGTTTACTGTCTAAGGTCACTCTAGTTACCTACTATCTTAAAAGAAGTAGATATAGGATAACACTAGAATTACAGATAGTGATTACTATATTATCTATACTAATCTCCAAATACAAATCAAATTAGCCAAACAACACAAAAAATACAAATATAAAATGTTTAAATATGACTCTATGATCAATGAACTATAAAAACAGTTTTAGCAAAAAAGTTATCAACTTTTATTTTCTCTCACTAAAGTAGCAGCCTCTGTATTTATAATAAATCAACTCTGGTACTAAATCCAATCAATAGTGCTTACTGCAGCAAACACACATATACTATTTACCTTCTGTTTCCAAAAACAATTTCAAAGCTTCTCACCTACTGCTTCAAAAACACATATTGTACTAAACATCTGTGGCAATATACTCCAAATACTGATAAATCTTAAATACATCCCTGATAACAATAACTTAACTAATATTACAATCATTAATAGCATCAATTAAAAAATACAAACTATACAACTGTTAACAAACCTATCTATTACACCTCTTATCATGATCAATATTAATTCTAATCAACTCTCTGCTACTATTAATATAATAAAAAATTATCACAAAACACTATATTATACTTGTGACTTAGAAAACAAACAGGCAATCTCACAACAAATTGAACAATATATTCAAACATGCTACAACAATTTTATCTCAAATACAACAATTATGATTAATAGTATAATTAACTGCCACACTGATCCAATATTATTTGATAATATAAAACTTCAGGACTCAATAATTATAGAACCAAATGAGATCCATTAACATATCAAAAACCATTTCACAAACTGGATCAAAAATAATTTACATAATCCAATTCTCTGAGAATAATGAAAAGATGAATACAACCCAAAACTAACATATTTCCTCATGGTACAACACACTATTAGACTCTATAACCCAACAGGAAATAATCAATATAATCAACTTAGCATCAAACAAAAAAGCAACAAAACCAACACTGATCTTTAATGAAATACTTAAACACACTCATCCTCATATTATCAAGCTTCTTACAATTTTATTTAACAAGTATTTAAATACCACAGACATACCAACTGCCTAAAAATAAAGCAAAATATATCCAATCTCTAAAAAATCTATTTTTACAGTCCAACTTAATCATATGAGGCCTATTACTTTTCTTGAACATATATGAAAAATCTTTACAAAACTTATTACCAACAGACTTATCCAAATAATGTCTAAATACCTTATCCTTGATCCATATAACTTTATTGCTTTACTATATTCTTCTACCATACAACCCATACAAATACTTACAAACATACTTCAAGAAGAGTAAGATTAACAGAATTATATGTTTTACTCATGTCCTGAGACAAGAGTCAAATGTTTTTGTATCTGCAGAATGCATCCTCAATGAGATTATTAAGAATGTGTATAGGGATAGATGTACTATTATCTGAAAGAGCAATGTAATTGTAAAGAGAGAGGATAGTATTTATATAAATGTAGAGTTAAGTTTATTTATAATAATTTTTGTATAAAGTTTTCAAATATGTTCAATGAGACTAATAGGTCTTGTTAGGTTAAGGTTTCTATCGAAAATGTTGCACTTAGGAATAGAATAAATTTTGCTATATTTTCATTATTTGGGAATTTGACCAGAGTTGAGGTAGCGATTAAATAAAACAGTGATAAATTGAATACATGTAGAACTGGCATGTTTAATTATTTCATAACTTATGCTTGTAAGATTACAGGCTTTGCCATTTGGAAGTTGGGCTATTGTGTTAAGTACTTCTTCTGTTATAATAACTTCAGTAAATGAAGTATACCAAATTGGGTTGATGTATAGTTGTGATTGGTAATATTATTGTTTTATAAATATTTTCTTTATCATTTTTTAAATAAAACTAATTAATAAAACTAAAATAAATATTTTAATAAATAATATTAAAAATTATATTTATCTTAGTAGTTTTATATAATTCTTTATATTTAAGTATAAAATTTTTTGATATATTAAGAACTTCTAATATTTTTTAATACAACTAATTAATAATACATAGTATAAAAAATACTTAGTATTATTATAAATTAATATTTCTGTTTTCTTATATAACAAGTTAGATTTTATATTATTCATATACAATTTTTCTTGCTTAATATTGATTAGTAATAAAGATATAAAATAATTGAAATATTTATTAAAAAATAAAATAATTATATTTTTAGCTACATTATTTAGATTATATTTTGTAACTAAAAACATTAAATTAGTATAAGTTTTATTAGAAAATTTATTATTTTTTTGAAAAAATTATTATTAAAATTATTTTAAATATCTTTAGAAATTTCTTTATTTAAAGAAATATCATCAGCAATATCTTTATATTTATATAAAGTATTTTTAAATTTATCAAAAATATTAGCATTAAGATCAACTTTAAAATTAATTAAAGTATTAATAGGTTAAATTTTTTATATAGCATTAATTTTTACAAGGTCTAAAACTATTTCTTTTAAGCTAATATATCCTAAGAAGGGTAATGATTTTATCCAAAAGTTGTATTTATTAAAGTTAAGTCTTAATCCAACATTTCTAATTCATTAAACCACTATTTTTAAATGTTTTAAATGATTCTTAAATATTTTTGATGTTATCAAAATAGACAACAACAAATTTCTATATAATTCCTTTATATACTCTGTTTATAAATTATTAAAATATTGCAAATTATTTAATAAGTAAAATATAATCTCTGCAAAGAAATATAAAGGGAATAATATTATAATATAGAAATGTTTTCTTTTTTGAGACTGGTAATATCATATAAATTATAGAACTATATTAACTAAAAACCTTCTAAAAATAATTCAGTAACATGAAATAAACAAAGATGATATAATTTTTTAACAAGATAATAATTCAAAGCATATATTGCTACTAATAATAAGTTGTAGTTCTATTATAATAACTGATAATAAGTTATGATTCTATTATACTAACATTAAAATACATAATTTATTGCCTTATTTATTAGACTTAAACCTAATAGAATATTTGTGAAATGAAATTTATTGATGAATAAAATAATCATCTATAAAAATCATTGATGCAGATGAGCTTTGAAAAACAATTTAGAAGGTTTGAATAGAAATTAATATGAAGTATTTTAATAGGCTTATTAAAAGCATGTCATAACATATAATAGACATTTACAAAGCAAGAGAAGGGTTATACCAAATAGTAAACTATTGTTTTTTTTAAAAAAATAACCTTTATTTTCTTTTTATTGGTAATGTGACAAAGTTTACATTTCTAATAAATGATCAAAAGAAATGCATTACCAAAAATTGAATTAATTTTTATTTTTTTGAGTTTTTGATTACTAAATAAACAAATAAATGATATTTTTATATTATCAGAGATATAATGAACATAATAATCCAAATTTATAACTATTTATTACCAATTAGTGAAATTATTTGATTACAAAGTTAGCCAATTAGGGTGATGCAAAATAAGTGGCCGCCACTGTATAAGCGAGTACCATACGTCGAGAGATATTATATTCCAAGTGTAATTAAGTGCTAAGGTATTTTACTGTACATTCCCGAGTGCAATTAATCGGTTCTTAGTACCCGGGTATTTTCATTCCAAGTACTATTATTTTCAATTTATCCATCTTTAGTACTAGGGGTACTTCACATTCTAGGCCTCCAAAAATCGTGAGGTATTATAAAAGGAGTCTTTCAATCCACGCAATAAGGTATGTAAATAGTGCCACTTGACACTCACAGGTAAGTTTACCTCAGATAATATAATGGCGGCAGATTTCTGATCGTTATATATTATTGTTAACCGTAATTAATCGTTATTAATCGCTATTAATCGTTGATTGGTCACAATCACCAGATCGCAAATTATTTCTGCCTTGTTACCTTGTTATCTCGGGGGTTTTAATTTAAAAAATAAGACCAATATTATGCAACTTTGACACGAAATTATAAATGTAGGATTTATATTTACCAATCTATAGTACAGACGTAAAAATGCTAGATATGATATAAATTTGGCATAAATATGTTTGATACAGTAACATTTTTGAAATTATTAAATTATGTAATAAATTGTGTAAAAAAAAAAAAATGGATAAAAATTTCTATCCAGTTATCTCTCCTTAAAACCCCAAGCTTCATAAAACCAATTCTTGTAAGAAACAGATTGATTCCATAACTGTTCTCTTTCAAGTGTAGTCCAGCATTCTGGAACAATCTCTTTCTTTGTAGCCAGACCTTCAGCTGTTGAATTCCGAATAACTCTGACCATTGGCAATCCCTCTTCATATTCAGAGTACCAATTCTTAATGGCATTCAACATCTCAATGTCCTTAATCTGATGAATCATGATGGTCTCGACAAAGTAGTGGAGGTCCAATTTCTCGTCAAAGTCATGGATAGGATTTTGGCGGATGGGAACCCAACTTGTAAAGCCGACGTAATGTACAAAGTAATTTTTCTCCTTAGCCACATGACATACCCATTCACCTACTAGCCAGTCCTCATAGCCTTTGGAATATAAATTAACCCATTGTGATCCTACAATGTCTACAACGAGGTCGCGGGAGAGGGTGTATCCGGCACCTTATCTCAAATATAAGACACTTAGATTAAAAAGTGCATGAAGTGTTTATGATAAAAGGAATCAAAAAACACACCTCCCATAAACGTATATGTTCCATGTACATATCCTAGAGCATTACCATAATACACATGTTCTCTAGGTAAATCTTGAAGGTCACGGTAGTAGTGAATAAGATGGATGAAAGTGTCATCGTCCGATTTGTGTATATAATTATCTTCCCTCTAAAACATATTCAAAGTAATGAATGCTTATTGACATGCGCTACCTCATAACAAAACAAGAATACTCACATGTTTAGCAAACCAACTAAAATATTCAAAAGTTTTTCCTTCATTCATGTTTTCTGTAATATTCAAAATAACAATATCCCCGTACATTTTAGACTCTTCCTCCAAATTATCCATATATTCATCCTTTGGCAGTCCCAGGATAAACTTAATAGTCACAGGTGATTTATTGACTCTAAGATATCGTGCTAGAGCGTTGTTATTGTGTGTGTACAACTCGCGCAAGCATTTCCTAGTCTCAGCCTTCTCATAAGAGGTCACAATTCCGATAAAGACAGTTAAGTTCTGATCTACACCTGAAGGGGGTTTGATATAGGTATCATCTGTGATATCTAATGGTGGGGCTATTGATTCTAAGGGCTGAAAGTAGTATGAAAAGTAATAAAATAACGAGAGGTTGAGGCCAAAAATGAAGAGAAGGGTCCAGTATCTATAAACCATAGATTTGAACATTTTTAATCAAATGCCTCGAAGGTACGATATGTTGTGGTATTTGACGCAGTATGTAAATCAAAAATTAAATTATATGTAAAAATTTGAAATATTTTTATGCTAATATATGAGTTTCAACCATTTAATTAAGTGTACTGCCTTTACAACCATAGATTGTGCTCCAGAATATTTAACAGATTGATATCAAGTCTCAAAAAAGAAAAAAAAAGTCACAGAGCAACCTTAAGTTTGAAAAAATTTAATTTTCCACATATAATATAAAAAAGCACTTCTGTAACTTGTAACGGTGGTAAGACTTTTAAAACTTTGGAATAGATAAGAAATCTTTCTTATTAGCCTTCAACACTTGTGAAATGAATTTTTTATTTAATTGTACTAATAAATTTGTATTCTTTTTTGGTTTTATATATGCATGTACGTACGTACGTTATGAAGAGCAGATTCGGGTTACCACGTTTCTACATTTAAAAATGCAGTAAAAACATAAAGCAGTATAACTACTTGAAAAAGGGCATGGAAGATATGATCAGAGAACCAGAGGTCCTACTGTTATTAAGATCCCATGGGATAGTTAGGTTGGTTTTTATTTCGATACGATTCACTTTTCTCTTTCTAATTACACAAAGGCGGAGGGAGGATCTTTGTACATAATGGATATATCGGGGGCTTTGCCGTTTCATCCAGCATCCATTATACTATTAAAAACCAGAGGCTTCGCCTCAAACTAAACCCGAAATAGCATACGCCGATCATTATGTTACCGTTACAGGTCCCCGATCTAGTATCCTGATTCAAGCCCTTTGCTTTCCCACGAACAATTGTTCATTCGCTGTAATTTTGACCAATCGAATTTTCGCCCACGGGAATAGCTCGAAATTTTTAATATGAAACCATATTCTGCAGCCTAATTAAACATGTTTCGTGAAATTCTACTAATAGCCATCAGATAGTTCTAATCATAACCCTAACTATAACATGGTTTTCTTAAATTTAATTTTACACGCAAGTTTTTTTACTTAGAAAACAAAAAACATGTGCAAAATTACTATCGCTATGTAATTTTTATGCTCATGTGAGATCGACGAATATAAGCCAATAATGTGTCTCGATTCAATGTAACGTTCGTACTTATAACTCAAAATCTGTATAGGAAACCATCCTCTGTGTCTTAACCAAAAGTTTTTCTTGAACGATTTTACGATTAAGGATATCTTAACAAAGGCTCTAACCCTAACCTAAACGAACTTAAAGAATTTGGTCGGATATCACGTGAGCGTAAAAATTTTGTCGCGATGCTGGGGAAGATAAGTTTGTTTAGACTATCACGTTACATCTAATATTAATTTTTGTTTGGTCAAAATTACATGGGGTACGTACGGTCAGCGATAACGAAAAGGGACAGGAGGGTTTGATTGGAAGGTTAGAAAGGGAGAAACGAAAGTAGAGACTATATTGTATGTAAGGACGAAATAAGAATGACAGTAGTTAAGAAAATAATTTAGTAAACAAATGATTAAAAGGGTTAAACGATCATTGTATCAGTCACAAAATAGTGTAACAATGTAGTATGCCAGATAGCGGTCAAATAAACAGACAAATAAATAACTGATAAATTATTAAATATAATTTAAAGAGTAATAGTTATTGGTGAAAGCACGATGATTTTTAAGAAATCGTTAATATGTGTTGACTACTATAAATGTGACCAACTTATCATAGATTCGAATAATTATGAAGTCTTGTGAAATCCTCAGCTTTATATAATTCACTGAAAAAAGGTCACCATCCAGAATTAGGTTCAAAAGTTACCGTTATTAGTTGATTCGGGTTATTATGAAACAAAATAAGATCAAAAAAAATTCCAAATGTGAGAATGAAGGATGGAAATCCGGTTCAGTTCTAAGAAGACCGGTCTATTAATGTTTTTCTGTCCAGTCTCAGTCCCAATAATGCTGTAATGGTCTTTAATTATTTAAACCTCTAAATATCCTATTAGCTAGCGGTGAAAATTAAATCGATGCTATAATTAAATGGTCAGATTTAATAATGTAATAATTATTTATTACAAAAAGCATTAATTGTAATAATATTTACTACTAGGAAATTAGAATCTGATGTAACGGTAGGTCATTATGGATTAAAGGTTCCTTTTATTATATCTCCTACCTTGAACTTAACTATCGTATAGTTTTTAATTTTACCAATACTTTGGCACTTTAGTATTCGATTAGCTTTCCTTATGCACACCAAACCTATTATATATGTTTTTATCTAGCATGCAGTGACACCTATTAACTGCAATGTGTTGGGTGGACATTAAATATGATCATTGAATATTTGTCTGGTCAAGCTCAATCTATTAGAAGTTGATAAGACTAATATTCATTCGCACGATAACTGATGGATCAGTTATGACATCACTAACGACTTAATGACCTAGTATTATTGATCATTTACTATCACTGTAGTGTGCATTGTTAATAAGTGAAAACCATTTTATTATGGGAGAATGCGCACCCTTCTTTTACAAAAGTTTTATGTTATAAAATAACTGGAATAAGTATTCGTTATTATAATATATTTTTTTTACAGAAAATATTGTTATTTACTTTATTACTCATAATATATTTATGAATCATGAATTCAGGAATTAGCCAAAAAACCTCCATTTCAATTTACTCCTAATATCCTTGATATTTTCCATTATTGGGTCGTAGTTCTTTGCGTTTCCTTTCGATAACTTGCCAATTTCAATTACATACCAATTGCCTGTAATCAGCAGAAAATAGAAAGGATCTGAGAAAAATAAAACTTTATAACAGTAAAAATTCAACATTAAAACTTACCACGCGATCGATTAATAAGACACATTATAACAGCTTGTGAATCTTCAGCTCTATGTATATTGTAACTGCATAGGTGCTTATCTGGATTTGCTTCATCATATAACTTAAAACTTGGATTCTGAAAGTGACTAATTGTTGGAGAATTCCATGAACTTAAGATTAAATAAAGTTGTGTTACGTCTTTAGGAAGACTATTAAGTTTTGCTGTAATTTTATGATGTCCTTTATCTGTGGATAATTTATATAATTAAATAAATACAAAAATATAATGTTAAAGAAAAAAAAAATTTGTTTTTAATATTGAAACAAACTTGCAGCATTATCTAAGATATCTCCGGAATGTCTTAAAAATTGTATATCCTTAGAATATAAATGTGACCAATCGTATGTTTTCCATAAATTAGCGCCTTTATATATCAAACAGGAACCGTCAAGAAAGTCTATTCCAGAGTCAGGATAACCCCAATATAAATCGAATGCTAAGTTTTTTATAGCATCTTTCTTTGAGATAGAATAAAGTATGATAATAAGTTGGATATGACTGTTTGCGCGGATTCCGTAACTTGCAATTGTAGCGTCGTAATTCTATATAAAAGAATTATAATCAAAACAATTAGGATTAAAATCTTTAACGAAGAATAAATAAATAAATTATGCACATTAAGCTCCACGTTTTTATAAGTTAACATTTGTCTATCAGTATCTATCTTTGTATAATTCATTAATCTATATTTTAACTCTCCAACTTTACTAATTTCAGAGAGTTTAAATTCAAACTTTTCTCCATTTAATCGGACAACGTAAAATATTTCTGAATTTATATTATTTTGTATAGAAAGTTCAGTATGCGTTTGTAAGGAACTTTCAAAATTAATTTTAAAGTTTGCATTATCCCAAAGCAAGCAATATTCATTGAATTCTTCTTCAGTTAATATAGCTTTGCATATAGGACATTGATGCTGTGTTTCTTTCAGGTAGTTTACAAAACACTAATAAAAAGACAGATATAAGTAAATATAATGAACATATTTGTACAAATAACTAAATATATTATAAAAAATATTATACCTTTAAACACCAAGATGTAATGTGCTCACATTTTGAACTAATTATACCAAATGGAAATTCTTCTGAAAGCTTATCAAGTTGGCAGTTTTCACATTTCATTATTAAAAATGCAAAAATATTCGACTTTATATGTAGTAATCGCAAATAAGGTTATCGTTATGTTACCTAATTTATTTATTAATACAGTATTTTATTAATTGGATAAATTACTTATTTTAATTAAGACAATTCTAAATACGTATGATTTATTTAAGGTATAACAAATTACTGTAAAGGGCCAAAAATTTATCCGGTATACCTTGCTAATATTTGAAGAATGTCACTATTCTTTCAGATATAAAAAAAAATTTTTGGCCTTCAGGTTTCAAGTAAAAGTCACAAGAGGTAACTCTTATAACAAAGATTCGGAATAAAGTGTCCAATAGGAAATTAATATAAATTATCTTGATAATAATATGTATAAAAAATTCCGTTTAACATTTGTCTTTTTAAGAAAAGAACTGGCTTAAATTTCTAATGTCCAAATTCTGCTGCTTTTAATAATCAATTTACAAATTCTGGTAGTACATGGTACTATATACAGTCACGTACGTACGTACAGTACATACGTTGTGAAAGGTGGCTCTACCAATATGGATCGAACTTGATGCATATGCATATGCTATACATTCTGTACTTATTGAACATAATGTACATAATGTACATAGTGAACATGTGCCACTTAGTTAACATATCGAACATAGTTAATATAGCTAACATAGTAATTATGTACCTGGTAATCGTAAAAAATTATATAAGACCCACTTTTCGCTTCAATAAAGGGGGGAGAACTATTGGAGTTCAAGACTTTCTAAGTTCTTTAGTAGAAGCATTTAGTTCTACTAATTCCCCTCGATAAGTAAAATCTATAATAGCAATAGGAATTACTGACCAAATCCCGTGATTCTGTATTAAGATACCCGTGATGTAGTCTAGAGCTCTAATTTACCCTAGTTACTCGATCGGAGCCTTATCACTATTAGGTTCAATTAAAGTGGTTTAGTTAGTACAAGTGTAGTATTGTAAAGTATTTGTATTACGGGGGAAATCCGCCCTTCACAACGTACATATGTAACATAGTCATGCCCAGTGTGTGAAATTCAATGTTCTCATTGTTCTCAGAGAACACTAATCAAATTTTAAGAACATAATTTATTAAAATATGTTCTCTATCTTAGAACATTAAATGGTTTTTTTTTGATATTATACAGATTTAATTTTTTTATATTGAGAATCATTAAAAATTTTTTAGAACATTAAGAACTTGAAAAATGTTCTCAGTAAGAACGTAAAGTCAAAATTGAATTTCACACACTGGTCATGTCATAAAAAATCAGCAGTCAAATAATAATCAAAGTTTATTAGTTTAACATTATTATATAAATTATACAATACAAATTTGAAAAAACCAGTATATAAGACACTAAGTTATAATATACAATCTGCGCTTAACTAAATATTTGCTACATAAAAATATCGTAAATTATGAAATGTACAGATTCTACTCAAAAGTTTAAACCTAAAAAACCCACTCGTGACAGAGACATTGGCCATATGCTAGTTACTCATAAAGGCTTTTTTTTAAATTTCCAAAAATAACCATGTCACCTGAAGGTAAAAAAAAAATTAATTTTTTTGATCTGTGATGAATCAAATTGGAAATTATTCTTACCAGGAACAAATACACTATTTTTATCATATTGGATAATTTGACGATCAGGAAACAAAATGTTTGAGGCAGCAAAAACATTAATATGGTTAAGCTTCATTTTAATTTCAGAAGTTTTCTTTTTTAAATCTTCGAATATTTTGCTTTTTTTTTCTTCAATTGATGAAGATTTGAACTTTAAAAATTCATAAAGCCAATTTCCTTGTGTTTCATCATTAACGACTATTGAAATTTTTGGCTGATCTTGGGATTTACCCGGGGGAAATTCAATAATTTGGGTTTTTGGGTCTATACTTAATGGTCCGACACTAAAATTATAATCCAGAGATAATGTCGCAATAGCACTTACAGGTGTGTATCTAGTAATTACCATCTTAAAATAAGATTCTACAGTTTTCTTATCACAGGCGAAAGGTTGGTCCCAGTTCTCTCTAATGTGAAGATTAAGTGTTTTTAAATCACTTTCCGCTCTAAACTTGAAACCTCTTTTTAATGAGATATTATTTACTTGATTTATCTCATTCACGTTTGATTCATACTTAGCTCCAACTGTTTGGGTGCCTGATCTCACAGTTATTGTTTCACTCGAGAATGTCCAATCCTCATCTAGTTTGAGCATCCAATCCCATTAGGATTTTTCTCATTTCTAATTCCACTGGCTTTAATATCACCACCAATATTTTTTGCAATAATTTCATCGAATATAATCCGAGAATTAATGTACAATGCCGCCTCATGGTCACTTGGAAGTAAATAATATCCATGCAGTTCATCTATATTCTTGGGCATAATTGACGGATGATTTCTTTTCAAATCATCTGCTTTAGTTTTTATATAAATCATGAATGCGTACTTATTTGTGGCAAAGGAAAATGATTCTGGTTGCAACGCATTAATGACATTATCATCTCTAAATACCACCTCACCGAGTGGATACTTAATATGTGTTTTACTATTTGTGAAATATAAACTTATCCAAGTTTGCAGTCTACTAGCGAGTTCTATATCTTCCAAGTATTTAATTTTAAAAAACTTGAAAGCAGCACTCTTAAAATTAAGTATCACTTGTTGGGTTTTATGCTCTTTTCCTTCTGGAGTTTTCACTAATCCTGGAACATCTTCAAGAACGACATTCTCGCCAATAATTTTTGCGGTATTAGGTTCTATATTTATCTTTGAATCCGCTGGTTCAATATCATCTTTCTCTTTTTCATTTTGCCATGTAGCTAAATATGATTGTCCCTTGGGACCATTAACTATGTCATATTCTATTTTCATACGGTTTGAAACTTTTTCGTCAAAAAAAATGTTCACAGGACCTAAATAAATCTCAAGTTTGACGTGGTCATATTTTCCTTTTGAAAAAGGATCCTTATAAGAATAAGTTTGAATGGGAAGTTTAAATAACATCTTTCGTTGAGGATCATCCACTGGAAGATTTTTTTCTTTTTCATATTGTTCCTTGAAAAACTCATTGATTTTGGAAAGCTTTAAATATGAAATACAATCCCAGTCTTCAAGCCAACTATTGTTTTTTAATTTTTCTAGTAGACTATTCGTATCAATAGTATCAATGACAGTGACCATTTTTTTTTTTTTTCGGAAGGAAAATATTGATAAATGAGAATATGAAAGGACTTTTTTTATACGTTTTACAATATGTTTGGGTTACATAACTTATCCGTCATTTCGTTTTTTTAACACCTTCACTCTTATAATAAAATTAACGTCCGTCACATCATTTCAATCATGCGAAATAAATTACTATAGCGATATCATGATAATGTGAACTAACGTAATTGTGATGATAATTACGACATAAGTATTATAGTTGTGAAGATCTTTTTAAGGGAATTGAAAATTTTAAAAATTTATAAGCTAATTATTATTAGATAAGTAGCTGCGCAACGTTGTCGCGCGAAACCAGGAACGGGGAAATAATGATTACAGAGCTAGATACTGTGAAAAGATATTTATAATGGTATTTTTAGTAAGTACATTTCAGACATGTACATGATTTAAACATTGTAATTCTTTGATAGTCTATTATAGAAAAGGAATATTGCATAGTTGCCTGTGAATTAATTTTAGGAAAAAAAGCAATTACGGCACTGGACAATGATTTTGTAGTATGCCGTAATGACGTATTGCTATATTGCTGTAACGCCATATTGGCGATGAACTTATAATATTAGGTGTTGTCAATGAAAAATTACACTTCAGCTTGTAGGTTAGTTTCTTGTTAGACCCTATTGCTATAACATTTGATATACTTTAGTCTAATAAATTATAAACTTTGAGACCCGAATATATTTTGATCTATTAACAAAATTCATTTTGGCTGTTTTTTGAATTACTCAAATTCGGCATAGTGCATACTAGCTTTACCACAAGAAATTTAGCACGAGATATACATATACATTCGGTTAGAACAAAATATTTAATATTCTCAAATGATCAACTAAAAATCGATAATTTGTTATATCGACAGCTATCTGTATTACGCAAGTGGGAAAAATAGTCAACGCATAATAATATATGATCAACAGTGTCATGCGGACCAATTGAATGCCCAGAATCGCACAGACACATTTGAAATGCCTGGTATACGTACTAATACTTGTATATTGTGAGTCAAAAAATGTGACTCGACCACGTGAAAAATATACAAAGTGCAATTAATTACATTTGAGCCGAGGGGCAGATAGAAGATAATGGAAGATGTAAAATATTGAGGAAGATAAATGTAAATAATTTTATACAACTTATTCAATATTAAGTGTAAAGTCGCGACGAAACTGAATAATATAAATAAAGGCCGAAATGGTCCCTTAAAAGATCATGTCTCGTTTGCTTTTTAAATAATAAGTCCCAATCGTATACGCCATCCATAATTTTACACTAACACTACCCAATATAAACCCTATACACCCTATAAGCACTTATAAAAATCGTTGTTCGTTCAAGTACCTCATCACGTGACTTACTCTACCTGACTTCGCTGACAAAAGCATTAACCACCAACCAGCCAAATCTAACACCCTCTTCTGAAAGGGTACCTATCGTTGGTTACACGAGATTCTGGATTGTGAATGACCAAGTCGCAGTTTCCGGAAGTTTGCAATATCAATAAATACGTAATCATTGCGAGCTATTACTAGAGCTGCAGACATTAGATTATCAATAAACATAAGCATGACGTAAGTAGTGCGTATTGACGTTACTAACCAAATTTTATATGATGTAGGTGACATACTGCCTTTGACCTTTTATTACCAACGTTGATGTTTACACAATTGATTTTACACCGGTGTTGCAGAATTATAATCATAACATGTACTAGCGGACTGATTAAGTATTGTAAAAAATTTTTTTATGTATTGCACACCGAGCGTAAAATCAGTTGTGTAAGATCAACTTTCATCCTGTATTAAAAATATCTGCTCGCTACTCACACTTGTGAATCAGTTTTTACTTTTAAACAAAAACGTTAGAACCACCTTTCTTCTATTGTAAATAATTCTGGTTTAATTAATTTTACAATATGTCACTTAAATCCCAATTGCGAGTTGGTCAAACTATTAACCTCCTTAATGGAATTTATCCTTCTTTTAATGATCCTTTCAAATCATCAAGTGGTAATGGTAAAGAAACATTTCAGTTGCCACCGGAAGTTCTAACGCCAAAGGATGATTTATATAATTGTACTATCTGTCTGACTGATAACTGGAACGTATTATATAGTCATATTGTCGACATTTACTTTTCAGAAAAGGTTGATGTGCCTCCTGTCACAGCTGATTATTCAGAAAATTATATTTATATTGATGAAGAAGAGGCAATCGATTCTATTACTTCTTTTAGTTTATATCGTCAAGATAAACTTGATACAATTAAATTAAATCTTGCTAATTTTATGGGAATTAATCAGGAACATGCCAGTTTAAATTCAAATGTTGGATATTTACTTGTCAAGATATCAAAGATCAATTACGTCTGGACACAAAATAGCTTGGATGACTTTCTTAGAAAGTCAACTTCCAATATTATTTCACCCACAACAAAAGATTTAATTGATTTCTTTTACAAAAGTGGCACACATTATATTTCTGAAATTACTTTTGGTAATTGTGTTTATCAAATTTTTGTATATGAAAAAGAAAAATACCAAGAGGTTAAGTTCGAGATTCAGAAACAGAAGTCAAATATGGATTTTATGGATTTTTACGGATATGCTAGAATCAACAGTAATAACGCAGGTTGGTATAGATAACTCTTATCTATATTGGTTGTTCATGTCGCATAGTAATGCATTTATTTTGATCAAGGGTACACTAAGTATGCTGGTGAATTGAGATTAGCCGGTCAAGATCCTTTATCAAATGAGTTTAAAGAACGTATAAAAGATGAGATGATAAATGATCAGGGGCAACCTTCGATATTTTCTTTAATCTACAAATCAGAGCTTCTAGAAAGTATTTTTATTAATACTACATCAATTGGGTTAAAACTTACTTCACTTGTCGGATACTCTGATCCAAATCCTTTACATTCGGAATGGTCAATCACACTTGGTTCTTCTCTTCTTCAAAAATTTGATCAATCTAATGGATTTCTTAAATTTTATGATAATCAACCCGATGATATTTATAAAGATTTCATCAGCCCATTTGTACCAATTATTACAACACCAATCTTGACGGTTTCACAGGTATTCATCAACTTGGATACTTTTCATAAGGATTATGATTTAATTTATAAGAAACCAACGAAACTGATTTTATTAGCGGATATTATTCACATATCTACTGAAGTTGAATTACCAGATGAAATTGTGATTGTTGCAAGAATTATTTTTGTTACTAGTCCTAAATCCAAAATTATTATTTCTTCTAATATATATGAAAATTGTAAAATTTTTATTGATCAAATTTCGCCAGCAATCGTAATTAAACAAAAAAATTCTAACGAACGTATGACAATTTTCGGAAAAACTGCAACAGCCCTTATAGTCAAGCAACCTGATCCAAATAATCCCAATAATGAAGTTCCTAGTTCAATAGATATTAAATACGTTTTCAATGATGAATATCTCAGAAATACTTTTTTTTCCCAAATTAGTCCAAGAATTATTAATGGAATCGGATTTCTTTTAACGTCAATGGAATCAATCTCTCATGCCAGACTCAATGACGATAATAAACTTAAGATCGCTGCCAAAAAGTTTATCATGTGGGTTTACAAATTTACCTCGATTCTTCAAAATGAGCGGGATGAAGATTCAATCAAAAGTTTAAATCAGAGAGCATCTACATTATATTATAATGGATTTCCTTCTCCGACCACTCCCCTCTCGGTTCCATTTCTCCGTTATCATCAATATAGTGATGCCATAAAATCGTACCTTGATTCTATAAAAGTATATCAAAATGAGGCTGAACAAACGATTAATGAATATAACAAAAAAATCAAAGAAATTCATGATACAGAAGCACAAAACATTTCACTTGATCACATTAAAAAAATTTGTATATTCCTTAAGAACCGAGCTGATCTTGAGTTAAAAAAAGAAGAAAGAGTTTTTGAAATTTACTCTGAAAACCATCTACAAATTGATCAAGCTTTGACGACAACTGAGAATCAAATACATGATTTAGAGAATAAATTGGATGATGGAAAAAAAGACATGGATTTTTTATTCAAGGTGTTATTAAAAGGTCTAGATGAATGGAAGATGAAACGAGAAGAGGAGGAAAGATCCAAGATTATTGCAAATATTGCGGCCATTGGCATAGCTATTGGTAAAATGTTTACGGCAAATGTTGAAGAAGATACAATATCTGGTATGCAATATTAATTTCGGTTAATTATCTTTATTTGAGGTTAAAAAATAAATATGTTTTTATATATTAGCCATAGGAGAAATTGCTGATAAAGTAGATAAAATCGTGACTAGTATTCAGGAAGTCAACAGACTGGTTAAATTTCTCAATGAAGCAAAGAATAAACTCGTAGTCCCAACTCCTTACTATACTCTTTCATCAATAATGGCTTTGGATTGGGAAGAGTGGATTATAAATGTTAAGAATGTTTTAGAAAAACTTATTCCTAAAGATGAAAAGCTCACCCAACTAAAGAATGATTATTACTCATCTGTTGGAATTATGAAAAATCGTGGGATTGCTTATATAGGTGCATTATATAAAAAATATAAATTAGGAAATGATAAAAAGCTTATTGTTCTTCGAAGAAAAAATGCAAAAAAGCAAAGCGATGAATGGAAAGAAATTGGCGAGATCATTACACGAAACAATCAGAAAGAAGTCGAACAATTTGTCGGTGGTAGTTTAGACTTTAGAAAACTTATTGAAACTTTCGAAGCCAGGGTCAACCTATTAACCGGACAACTCGTAAAAATTTTAATGGACCAAGATAAAGCATCACAATATGAGTATTTTACTGCGCCTGTATTCTTAAAAAGCTTTAGAATTGATTATCTTTTAGAAGTTGCTAGCGAAAAGCAAGTATCGTTGATAAAAGAATTAAATAAGTTTCCTACAGCACCAGTAGATTTAAGTCAACCGTATATATTTCATATGGACGTGCCTTCTGATATATTATCTAACAAAGGTTCTTTCGGTTTCTACTTTGACATTTTAACTGAAGATCCGTTTTTTAGAGGCTATTATCGGATCAGAATAAATGAGATTCAAGTTATATTAATAGATGATTCAATCACCACGAGTGACAAAAAGGTTTATTTTGAAATTTGTACAAATGCATCACCTTTTTATGACATTGGATATAATCCAAATTCAAAAGAATATACAAAAAAAAAACATTATTTTCTTGATCATACTCAAGACATACTTTTCAGTGGATTTTATGATATTGAAAAAAAGAAATATGATGCAAACAAGACAAATCCCAATTTTAGTGACACATTCGTACAAATTACACCATTTGCTGGATGGCAAATTCGTATTCCAAGGGATCGCTCAATATATAACAAAAATCTTGAATTTTTATCAAGAACAATCTCGATAGACGTTATTTTTAAATTAAATGCTATTCCAATTATTTGAAATGATCAAATGGTTAAAAGAATTTTCTGCAGTTTTATATACAATTGACTGCTAAAAAATTTATGCTAAAAACTTAGATGTTTTATGAAAGTAAATAAATGTGTTTAAATGATAAATTTTCAATTTGAATATTGTTGGCATTATGAGTTTTATTTATTTTATTTTTTTCTTTTGTTTTATTTTACTTAGTTAATTATTGACACAATGATAGTTATACCGGAAATATGACATAAGGCATAGCGCAAGGACTGAAACTAGGCTTTAACAAACAGAAAAGTATCCTGTAATACGTGTATATAGAGAAAAGTTAATCCACCATTACAATGGTCAATTCTTTCCGGCTAATATCTTTATTTGCTGAAATTACTGCATTCTTGTGGCCTCGACTAATTATTGAATGTTGGCGAATGGGTTATGGGTTTAAGTTCGTCACGCAAACACATTTAGGTTACATGTATACTTCAAACTCATCACATGCGAAACAAAGTCGCGAGATTGATTCAATTGAGATTCCTGATATGTGTGATTTCTTGTTTAATGCAGTCCCCATCAGCGACAAATAATTTAAAGGTAGAGGGGGTGATCCGTTCGATTATCATAGGATATTTTCCTTCTGATCTGCTAGTGCATTCTAAAAAGTCATTATTTATACAGTTTGGTGTACTTTTCAAAAAATACAATTCTATATAGTAAATATTCTCAATTTTGTACTATTAACTACGTAGCTGCTTGCAAAAATAACCTTATTTTTGAAAAAGCGGCTTAGATGCTACTTTATACTGTATAAATGACCAGTTTGGATTGATTTTGCTCCAACCAATCAGGGGGAACTCATCCAAGTTCGAATCAGATAATACAGATTAAGACTAAATTCTCATTTGTACGAACTTGATTCGCATAATTTGAACGGATTGAACAGTTTGAACAGTTTGAACTAGTGATCTTGATTTATAGTCATCAAGTTTCGAATAAATAAAAATGCGAGATTAGGTTACAGCAAGAGAAATTATTCTATTTTGAATATTAACAAGATTATAATTAGTTACATGTATAACTTTAGTCATTGTTTATTTAAAAATTCTGTTTACAAGTTACCTGCAAATTGTTATGTGAATTTATTTGAGTTTTCTGTTTAAAGTTTTTGATTTTTAATATTTTTTCTATAACATTAAAACAAGTTTAATTTTAATTATTAGACTTTAGAACTAATTTATCTTCAAAGTAAATTTTACTAAATAGAAGTAGATCTTATACTATATCTATTTTGAGTTTTTTATATTAGAAATAATTTTGTATTAGATAAGATCAATTCTTTTTATAAACATTGTTATGTTCTGTTATAGCAATTTTTTTTTTAGAAATTTTTTAAATCTAATATATGTTACATCTGAAGTAGTAATTTATTTAAAATAGTTACCTTATATATCTAAAGTATGATTCTGGTTAAAATTATAACTTAATGCATACATAAAGATCTAGTTTCAAAAACTTAATTTTAGTCAGGCATTATTTTGAATAAATTACTACTTTCAGATGCAATAATTTAGAAAAAAAATTTTTTTATAATAGATAGATTAATTAACTTTTCAAATGGTTGATTTAAAGAAAATTACTTTTATTATATAACTTAGATAATCTGATATAAGCAATGTTAATTGCTTATTGTATTTAATAGATTATATTCTCTGTTTAATAATTGTAAGCTCTTGATTTAAAGAAAATCATCTTTGATATTAATTAGATAAATTTACAAAGTATATTATTTTGTAATTAATAAATTATGCAACTTTTCAGATAGTTAATTTAGAAAAAAGTACTTTTACTATATTGTAACAAAGTGATTTTATAAAAGTACTTAAAGGATTAAATTATTATTAAAAAGATAATCATTATCTGTTTTGCAAATGTTATATTATCTTTGATTTTACTTATTAATAGGATCTATAATATTGCATGATATAGCTATTAATTAAAAAAAAACTTAAACCTATTTATATTCTAATAGTTATAGATTATGATAGCAATAAGTACATATAGAATAATAAAGTAGGTTTGAAGTTAAGATAATATAAGATTAATAAAAAAAATAAAAAATTTAAATTTTAATTAACAATATAATATAATACAAATTTATAATAAATCTTACAATGCTAAAAGTAAGAAAAAGGCTTAAGCAACTCTTAAACAAGCAGATAATACAGAAATGCATAGATATAGTAATAAGAATGATATGAAACAACTTTTATAACCAATTATAGAAAGTACAATGTGAAAAAATACAAGCCTGAAAGAAAAAGATCAATATAATAAATAAAATAAAAAAAGGTACTCATGCAAGAGAGAAAACAAAAAAGAGGGTAAAGAAAAAAAAGCAAGCAAAAGAAGAAAGAAAAAAAGAAAGCAAAAAAAATAAACTATACAAAAAAAGAAGCTTTGAAGAAAATAAATACACTTGTTATAAAAAAGAAAAAACCTTTCTGATATAGCTTTAAGTAGTTAAACAGCAGTCTATTTCTAACTAAGATAATGTGACAAATTGTATTTAGGTATCATTAGGGTGGCCAAGTGATGCTAGACTTAGATATTAAAAAATTCTATATAATTGTATAAGTATATAGTTTCAAGAACCTTAATAAAGTACTAGCATAATTGCTTAAGGTTAAAAAAAAAATTTATAGTAAATAAGTTAAAGATTTTTAAAGTTTTACAGTAAAGATCTCTTTGGCACTACTTAAACTTACATTTATTATTGTATATATCAAATTTGAAATGTCAAATTCCTCTTATTAATAATAATTATTAATTGTTTATATACTAAAATCAGTTGAAATATTGAGTTAGTTGTTCTACAATTCAAAATTTTATATAACCTATGATTGGCTTAGATAGAAAAAAGTATTTAGATTTGGTTAGTAGTTTGGTTTCCATAATTAAGAATTTCTTTTTTACTTGCCTTGCATTTTTTTTTGTTTGTGTTTTTACTAACTCAATTTTTAATTACTTCACTATTTTGGGTAATTGAACAACTACATAATCTCAATTATCTTTAATTCTTTGAGATACTTAAACAGTATAATTATAGCTAATCCTTGTACTTTAGGATACAACAGCTAAACAGAAATATAACAGCACTTTGAGATAAAACAGACAATTACAAGAATCAGGTTTTTATAGTTAGAGATTTAGCAATTAGTTAATATAATAAAAAAGATATTTATGTATTTATTATTATATAAAAGATCAGTTATTATTTTTAATAAAGCAAAGTTTAGGTCTCTTTTTTTCTAAAGCCTTTATAGTTTTTATTTATATTATAATTCTTAATTTACATTTGACATTCTACATTTGCTATAACTACTTTTACTACTTTGTTTCTAACTTCTATTTACTTAATATAACTTTTATATTCTATATAGCTGTAGTAGTCTACATAGCCAAAATAGCCTAAGTAAGTTGGGTTACCTGAATTTAGAATAACTATAGTCATATGTTATGTAACTTTCTTAGATAACAATACATATAGATTTATTATTTGATAAATTAACATAATTCTAGCACTTTAATATATTATTTAGTATATAATAATGCTAGAAGTTCTAATTTTTATTTCTATTATGTTAAAGTATTATAACTGATTAATTTTTGTACTTTTTTTTAAGAATGCATATGTGCTAGTAAGTTAATATATTATAAAGTTTATTCAAATTTAAATAATTATATATTATCATTGTTTACTTTTTATAAAAAAAAAAAATTAAAATATATATAAAATAAAAATTAGAAAATAAATATTAATAAATTTGATTATAAAAATAGTAAATAAGTGTTCATAATTTCAAATAGCTTATCTTAAATTCTTAATATCATTTTTTAGTACTCCAAAATTAATGCATAAAAATATACTATTAATAACTCTTTCTGTAGATTATTTTACCAAAACTGAACAAAAAGCAAAAAACTTTTTAGCAAGAATACAATAATAACTACTAAGTAAAGTAAACCTAAGCCCTTAATTAAACTTGTTCTACATACTAACTTGACCTAAAAAAAGTATTAACCTCAAAAAAATCTCTTATTAGCAGCCCTGAATAGCAACAATACCAAAAACAGTACTACAAAAAACAACTCACACTCTAGTGAAAATGGTTCTAAGGACCTTTACATTTTCTCTAACTTAGCATACAGACACAAGATGTCAGTTCCAAAAAATACTAAAAAAATAGTAGAAAACCCACAAACTAATCCACCATAAACTTCAAACCAAACAACCTTCCAAAGCATCTTTTTCTCTTCTTCTTTAGTCTACTTCACAAGCAAACTAACTATTTTAAAGAACCCTTTACCTACAATCTCAACCACCAACTCCCTTATCAAATATGCAAAAGAGTTTATTAATATTAACATAAAAGACTCTTTCAAACTCATCTTTACTGTCACCTTTCTTGTTTCTAACTTTATCTACAAATATCTCTTTACAGTTGATCTTACCAAATTCAGTCATGTTTCCAACCTTATTATCTTTCTAACACAATGGTTATATAAGCACAAAAAAGCTTTCTAATCAATACTTTTTGACTTCACAACTACTAGAAACAACTCTGTAAACATCAGTGCCAAATTTCCCAGAAATACAAGAGGCTGTGATCTTAACTTAATCATTCAGTTATATGAAAAAGCATAGAAGGCATACAAGATACCTATACACAGTAAAGATCTCTAGTGATACCTTACAATATAATTACAGAACTAAATACAGATGAAGAATTATCACAAACAAGTAACCTTATATAAGATAATGAATTGATATTTGATCTTATTGCAGGTACAACAGTAAATAATACACAAATTTAGCCCATAGTAGATACACCAAACAGCACTACACAGACTGAACACAAAACTTATATTAAAAGAAATAAATGCCTCTCTCTCTTACAACATATAGCTGCAGAAATTAGCAAATTATCAGCTAAAGCAACACAAGCAACAACTGATTAACAACA